CTTCCGGCGAGAAGAATGCACAAAGTCTTTCCGATCAACTTTTCCATTCAAACGGAGAGTTGAATCACACTCACTCACGGAGGGATTCTTTTGGAGACCCACCTTTTCTTCAACTATTGCAAGTTTGGCAGATGAACCCAGTCAAACCAGCCCTTGGTCTTAAGGGTCCATTAATTTCTTATCACAAGTTAGTCTCTCAGCAACCGTAGTCAGCAACAATGGTTTTTTTTCGGGACCATTTTCGTAGCTTGACGAGATTGGCTCAAGAGAGGCTCCTCTTTGTGCGCTCCGAGGCCGAGGGACTCTGAGTTTTCGGACTTTTGGCCCATCTGCGTGCCGACATTTTTACCTTTTTTAGCTCCGATCAGTTGGTCCTTTTGACGCCAGCCTCGTGTGATTTGGTTGACTCCTGTTCATCCTCTCTTCCGGCGTTTTTCGTCTAGTCCGCTCAGTCCGTCGCCGTTACGTCGGCCTCCGATGTGGCGGAGGCGGCTATCGCTGCGGATTCCAGGAGCCGACGAGAAGAGGAGCCCCTGCGTCTGACGCGGCCTTCGGGGCGCGATTCATGGACTGCATTCCGCCGGGACGAGTCTCGGTCTCCTGCTGTTCCGGTGCCCAGCCCGGCGAGTCCGTCGCGTCGGACCAATGAGACACGAGCAGGCCAGGCCGGAGCTGAGGTCGAGTTCGGGCTCGGGGATCGAGAGGGCCGCAGCTTGGATCCGACTGGAGGCGGGACGCGCGAAGCCGCCGCGAAGACGAGACGCGTCGGCCCTTGGCCCGGGACTCGATCCAGCGTCACATCAACCGGACCTGAGGCGCCCAACTTGGACTGGCCGACGCTGGGCAGGCCGGAATTCGGCTTTCTCGACAGCCATCGCCTCTCTTCCTCGGCCTCGTTGGCTGGCGCTGACGACGAAGACTTCTCTGACCAACAGGAGGTGAGTTTTATGCCGATTGGAAAGGTTGCGTCTGGCGACAGTTTCGTGTATCGTCTTGGCAACTTTGCTATCCTCGGTTCTCGGCACAATGTGAGCAAAGAGTGAAAGTTGAAGTTTCCCACAATCCTGTTAGTGTTAAGATCCCACAGTCCTTTCCTCAATATTCTATGCAACCTAAGTTGACGCGAAATCTTTCTGCGAGTGAAACTTATAAAAAAGATGCAGTGAAAAGAATTTCGCAGACAGGATCAATCTGAGCCTATCACATCAACATTTTGCAGCTTTTTTCATAAGTTTTTTATAAGTTTTCGAGACTACCAGTGAATCACATATGTTAGTTGTGTCCACCCTTTTTCGTTTTAAGGTGATGAAGGACTAGTAGTTAAGTTCTCCCACAATGATATGAGTAGAGCTGACGTTTCCAATTGATTTCACATAGACCTACTCGAGGTCGAAACTGCAGTCCACTTCAGCCTGGATGAAAAACATCTTTTGGGAAGCTATATGAAATTCAACGGAAACACCAGCTCTGTACATAACATTGTTGGAAAGCTAAATTATGAGTCCTTCATTACTCTTAAACGAACTATGGTGAATACAACTCATATATTTAATACCTTCTTCTTCTCCATTTCGTTTTTCTTTTTCTTCATCTGTTCAACACACTTTCTGCCCAACTTCCATACCGCTTTTCATGACTTCATCTTCAGTTGTGAAGCTCTTGTCAACACTTGCTCTGCATACCTTCCTGAACTCGAGAATATAAGATTTATGGAATCGTAGCATGAAGTAATACATTTTCGATGCGCATAGCTCTCTAATATTCCGAGCCACCAACAAATGCATTTCGACGACAGCGTCGAGGAGGCGAGATTTGACTTGCTGTCGTCGACTTAGAACTCAAAACCGAACCTGTCTGATCCAAGCGAGATGTATTCGAGTGTACAAACCAGACCTTGGAGGTTGTTATCCTCCGGATGGTAAGAGAAATTATTCAAAGTAATCAGATTACATCTCGCTTTCTGCAAGATAGCGTTGTGAATTCCCATCGCTCCATTTGACGTCAATCTGTTATTTTTCTTAGAGTGTCTTAGGTTTTTTCCCTGATTCGTAGTTGACCTCGACTTTCTCACTTTGGTAGATCTTGGTAACTTCTTCTTTAGCCTTTCCTGCTATGAGTCGGATGGAAGATTTGACTACTTACAAATGCTGATTTTACTTTAAAAATGCAAATACCCCTCCTCGTTTTGACGATGTATATGCACACCTGAACATGATTAGAGAGACAAGCATATTTCCAATTTAATCTCTCCTAAACACCTTCCAGTAGCACATAGGACTGGACAAATGAATTAGCTTTTATCTCACTGCACACCTCATATATTATTGAAATTGTTTGACCTTGTT